CCCTTTGAGGAGCGGCTTAAAGAACTGGGCATGTTTAGGCTGAGAGGAGACACGATAGTCATGTATAAATATGTGAGAGGAAGTCATACGGAGGAGGAGGGAGCAATTGTTGCAATCCAGAGCAGAGAATGAGGCCTAAGATAACTATCCACCACACTTGACTGTGAAAAACAATCCTTTTTTATTGAAGAAAAATGGTTACAATATAAAGGAAAAATGCAAGTCAAAAGCCACAGCAAAATCAGCAAACATGAATTTAAATGGACAAAGCAAAACCCAAAGCCTCACTGGGAAATACTGGAACCTGTTAGCAATCCACTAACCGTACTTGATATCCTAGAAATCTTTCCAATATGGCCAGGGAACCGGGAGAACTGCCAAGGTCTTCATCAATTCTGAAACGATGCCTGAACTGAGGGAATCAGCCTGGCGTATTGCAATTAAAACTCAAGAATCGGTTCCGTGAACCGCCCTTCTGTTTTGAAGCCAATGTTTTTAATTCTTGAATTCGGGAGGATCGACGCAAACTGAGTGATTTACTTCTGTCTTCCCAAATTTGGCCCCTTCTGTTGTCATTACAGTTAACAGGTGCAGAAGGGAGGGAAAGTTCAAGGTCTCCCTCTGAAACATTCTCATGAACACTGGTACTTTCATTTTCCAAATCTACAGAAGTTCCTTCCTCACTAATTTCAGGAACATTGGCATTTTCCAAACCTACAGCAGTTTCTTCCTCACTAATTTCAGGAGCATTGGCATCAAAAGGTACATTTCCATTAGCATCAGTAAATATACTTTCATTAGCATCAGGAGGAACAAACAGAGAATCAGGTTCAAGTTCAAACTCAGGCTGAAGCAAGCTTGTTTTCTGCTGCCCTGGAGACTAGGACGAGGAGCAATGGCTTCAAACTACAAGAAAGGAGATTCCATCTGAACATGAGGAAGAACTTCCTGACTGTGAGAGCTGTTCAGCAGTGGAACTCTCTGCCCTGGAGTGTAATGGAGACTCCTTCTTTGGAGGCTTTTAAATAGAAGATGGATGGCCATCTGTCAGGGGTGCTTTGAATGCAATTTTCCTGCTTCTTGGCAGAACGGGGTTAGACTGGATGGATGGTCCACTAGATCTCTTTCAACTCTAGGATTCTACGTCCTGAATTATGTCTGTTTACCACCATTTCAATGTCACAAGAAAATCATGGGCCGGAGAATGTGAATGTATGCACGTCCTGTATTGGAATTTCAGCTTTTTCCTGGATTTTGAAATATCTGTATTTGCACAGTCTTGGAGATGGAGCCCTAGTCTGAACACGAAACTCCTCTGTGTGTCTTCTATATTTATTTATTTATTTACTTTGCTTATATACCGCTGTATCTCAAGCCCGAAGGCGACTCACAGCGGTTCACAAACAGTAAAAACAGTAGAAACAGCAGTGGTTCCATACAACATATAACAATTGACTTAACACATTATCCATAAATTACCAATAAGCAATTACAATGCACAATTATTACAAAAAACAACCGTACCCAATCTTCTCATCATCCAAGCGTAGTCCAGGTTCGTTGTCCATTGTTCCATTCCTATGTTCCATTACCAGATTGCACTAACTTACTCAAACGCCTGCACAAACATCCAGGTCTTCACCTTTTTGCGGAATACCATTAGAGATGGTGCTAGTCTAATGTCCGTAGGAAGGGCGTTCCACAGCCGAGGAGCCACCACCGAGAAGGCCCTATCTCTCGTCCCCGGCAGCCGAGCTTGAGAAGCAGGCGGGATCGAGAGCAGGGTCTCCCCGGAAGATCTCAAAGTCCTGGTGGGTTCATAGGCAGAGATGCGGTCAGATAGGTAGCTTGGGCCGGAACCGTTTAGGGCTTTAAAGGCCAACGCCAGCACTTTGAATTCAGCCCAGTAGCAGATCGGTAGCCAGTGGAGTTGGCGCAACAGGGGGGTTGTATGCTCCCTGCGCTTCGCTCCTGTTAATATCATGGCTGCCGAGCGTTGGACTAGTTGGAGCTTCCGAGCTGTCTTCAAAGGCAACCCCACGTAGAGAGCGTTGCAGTAGTCTAAACGGGATGTAACCAGAGCGTGGACTACCGTGGCCAAGTCAGACTTCCCAAGGTACGGGCGCAGCTGGCGCACAAGCTTTAGCTGTGCAAATGCTCCCCTGGTCACCGCCGAAACCTGGGGTTCCAGGCTCAGCGATGAATCCAGGATCACACCCAAGCTGCGAACCTGCGCCTTCAGGGGGAGTGCGACCCCATCCAGCACAGGTTGTAACCCTATGCCCTGTTCGGCCTTGCGACTGACCAGGAGTACCTCTGTCTTGGACTCCTGCTTCCACAACAACTTTAACCCACAGTGCTGAAGAGCCACCAAAAGCCCTCCCTTGAATGACATTATAGGTTATAGCGAGTGCCGTGAACATGTAGCCCAACCCCTGCCAATGTCCTGAAACACCATACTGCCCACCACCCAAGGAATGCTTTCATTTGGAGACAGTTTTATCCTAGATTTTATGTGTTTCCTCCACCACAGACAACCCAGTGTTCCTTACTCTCTCCATTGGTGTGGAATTTGCATGATCCTGCCCATTGCCTCTCCCTTAACCTTTTGCTACACTTTTCAACTCTGTCTGCACTACAGACAGGGCAGAACTGAGCAGCAACTAAACACACTGGAGGGAGTGGGGGATTGACACAACATGATGGAAGTTGCATTTCACCCTGCATCAGGTCAGAGCGCTGTGTCCCCCACTGACAATGGACCTGGACCACATTTGGCACACAGAACACCCGTGACCTAAGAAAAATACAGGAGAGGTTTGAGGAGAATTCACCATAGCCATTGTAGGTAGTGGGATTTACTTACTTACTTACTTACTTACTTTTACTTAGGCGATCCCTCGTTGTCCGAGTAGGATACTCCTCCAAGGTCAGTGTACTGGTGGGTCCGTAGGTGACTGTGGAGTCCTATTCTTGATCTGCATCTTCTCCCGCAGTGAGGGCATTGGTTTCCAGGTGGAAGGTGGTCCCGGTTGGGGTTGCCTTGATGCGCCTTCCTCTTGGCATGTTTCTCTCTTTTGCCCTCCATTTGTGCCTCTTCAAATTCTACAGCACTGCTGGTCATAGCTGACCTCCAGCTGGAGCGCTCAAGGACCAGGGCTTCCCAGTTCTCAATGTCTATGCCAGAGTTTTTAAGGCTGGCTTTGAGTCAGACCTCACTACCTCTAGTTCCAACAGACCTCATTACCTCTGAGGATGCTTGCCATAGATGCAGGCAAAACGTCAGGAGAGAATGCCTCTAGGCCATGGCCATATAGCCCGAAAAAACCTACAACAACCCATTGTTCCATTGCGTCCTAATCTCCAGGGCAGCAGAAAACAAGCTCCCTCCCTCCTCCCTGTGACTTCCTCTCATGTATTTATACATGGGTATCATGTCTCCTCTCAGTCTTCTCTTCTTCAGGATAACATGCCCAGCTCCTTAAGCCGCTCCTCATAGGGCTTGTTCTCCAGACCCTTGATCATTCCAGAGTCAGAAGCAACTGAATGAATAGAATAATAGAATCATAGAGTTGGAAAAGACCTCATGGGTTGTCCAGTCCAACCCCATTCTGCCAAGAAGCAGGAAAATTGCATTCAGAGCACCCCTGACAGATGGCCATCCAGCTTCTGTTTCAAAGCTTCCAAAGAAGGAGCCTCCACCACACTCTGGCACAGAGAGTTCCACTGCTGAACGGCTTTCACAGTCAGGAAGTTCTTCCTCATGTTCAGATGGAATCTCCTTTCTTGTAGTTTGAAGCCACTGTCTCCAGGGCAGCAGAAAACAAGCTTGCTCTCTTCTCACTATGACTTCCTCTCACATATTGATCCACGGCTATCATGTCTCCTCTCAGCCTTCTCTTCCTCAGGATAAACATGCCCAGCTCCTTTAGCCGCTCCTCATAGGACTTGTCCTCCAGACCCTTGATCCTTTGAGTTGCCCTCCTCTGGACACATCTCAGCTTGTCAATCTCTCCCTTCAATTGTGGTGCCCAGAATTGGACACAGTATTCCAGGTGTGGTCTAACCAAAGCAGAATAGAGCATGGATAGCATGACTTCCCTGAATGTAGACACTAGACTCCTATTGATGCAGGCCAGCTCTTTAAGCCGCTCCTCATAGGATTTGTTCTTCAAAATAAACAACAACAACGCTGGTAATGTATTATAAATATTGTGGTATAACAATATAATAATAATACATAATAATTGTATATTCTGTGTTGCTTTTGATAACCATAACAGGAGTTTCTTGTCCAGAGGAGGGCGACTAAAATGATCAAGGGTCTGGAGAACAAGCCCTATGAGGAGCGGCTTAGGGAACTGGGCATGTTTAGCCTGAAGAAGAGAAGGCTGAGAGGAGATATGATAGTAGCCATGTATAAATATGTGAGAGGAAGCCACAGGGAGGAGGGAGAAAGCTTGTTTTCTGCTTCCTTGGAGACTAGGATGCGGAACAATGGCTTCAAACTACAAGAGAGGAGATTCCATCTGAACATTAGGAAGAACTTCCTGACTGTGAGAGCCGTTCAGCAGTGGAACTCTCTGCCCCGGAGTGTGGTGGAGGCTCCTTCTTTGGAAGCTTTTAAGCAGAGGCTGGATGGCCATCTGTCAGGGGTGATTTGAATGCAATATTCCTGCTTCTTGGCAGAATGGGGTTGGACTGGATGCCCCATGAGGTCTCTTCCAACTCTGATTCTATGATTCTATGATTCTAAACTTTTCCCGCGCTGTGTTCAACATGTTTCACACAACACCCCCGTTTCCTTCACAGAATGGTCTCTTCCACAGGCGTCGCGCGCTCCTTGGACTGTTCCATTACAGAGGGAAAAGGGGTGGAGAGAGAACCTGAATAGACAGGCTGACTTAAGCGGGAGCGTTCTGGCTCCGCCTCCTCGGGGGCGTGGCTTGCCGCGAAAGGCCCCGCCCCTTCCTATATAAACATCCGAGCGGCCGCCATTTTGTGTCAGTCTTCCTTTCTTCTGGAGAGCGGGAGGCCTCTCGGGTGCCTGTTCCTTCCTTTCCTCCCACACTCTGAGGACAAATTCATTCAGAGCCGATCTAAGAGGCGGCTCCGTAGATGGCCAGCTTTCCCCCGAGTGTTAACGAGAAGCTAATTGGTAAGATGGGCGCTTTTTCAATTCATAATAAGGTCTCCCTTCATGACCATAAGAGGTGGGGCTGGTTGCTGAGGGAGCAAATCTTTTACTTTCAGCAGGCTTGGGCCCACCCTCCAGGTGTTTTGGACTTCAACTCCCACCATTCCTAACAGCCTCAGACCCCTTCCTTTCCCCCCTTAGCTGCTTAAGCAAATTCTGCAGCACTGCTGGTCACAGCTGACCTCCAGCTGGAGCGCCCAAGGGCCAGGGCTTCCCAGTTCTCGGTGTCTATGCCACAGTTTTTAAGGCTGGCTTTGAGCCCATCTTTAAATCTCTTTTCCTGCCCACCAACATTTGTTTTCCTTTCTTGAGTTTGAAGTAGAGCAACTGCTTTGGGAGACGGTGCTCAGGCATTCAGACAACATTGCCGGTCCTTGATGGCGGAGGACCATCGCTTCAATGTTGGTGGTCTTTACTTCTTCCAGCACACTGACACTTTGTCCGCTTGTCTTCCCACGAATTTTGCAGGATTTTTTGGAGGCAGCGTTGATGAAATTGTTCCAGGAGTTGCATGTGACGTCCACGTTTCACAGGAATATTACTTACTTAGGCGATCCCTCGTTTTCCGAGGAGGATTGTCTTCCAGTGTTCTTGTGGGTCCATAGGAGGCTGTGGAGCCCTATTCTTGCTCTGCATCTTCTTCCGCAGTGAGGGCATTGGTTTCCAGATGGAAGGCAGTCTCAGTCGGGGTTGGCTTGATGCGCCTTCCTCTTGGCACGTTTCTCCCTTTCGCTGTCCATTCGTGCCTCTTCAAATTCTGCAGCACTGCTGGTCACAGCTGACCTCCAGCTGGAGCGGTCAAGGGCCAGGGCTTCCCAGTTCTGAGTGTCTATGCCAGAGTTTTTAAGGTTGGCTTTGAGCCCATCTTTCAATCTCTTTTCTTGTCCACCAACATTCCATTTTCCGTTCTTGAGTTCGAAGTAGAGCAACCGCTTTGGGAGATGGTGGAAGTGCTCAAAGGCCAGGGCTTCCCAGCTCTCAGTGTCTATGCCAGAGTTTTTAAGGCTGGCTTTGAGTCCATCTTTAAATCTTTTTTCCTGCCCACCAACATTCTTGAGTTCAGAGTAGAACAACTGCTTGGGGAGACGGTGCTCAGGATCCAGACATTGTGGCCAGTTCAGCGGAGTTGGTGGCAGAGGACCATCACTTCAATGCTGGAGGTCTTTGCTTCTAGCACGCTGACATTTTGTCCGCTTGTCTTCCCAAGAATTTTGCAGGACTTTTCGGAGGCAGCGCTGATGGAATCATTCCAGGAGTTGCATGTGACGTCTGTAGACAGTCCACGTCTCGCAGGCGTATAGCAGGGTTGGGAGGACAATAACTTTATAAACAGGCACCTTGGTACTTACTTCGTTGGACGAGTAAGATGGTCTTCCATGATGGGTTTTCTTGTGGATTCGTAGGTGGCTGTGGAGCCCTATTCTTGCTCTGCATCTTCTTCCGCAGTGAGGGCATTGGTTTCCAGGTGGAAGGCGGTCTCAGTCGGGGTTGGCTTGATGCACCTTCCTCTTGGCACGTTTCTCCCTTTCGCTGTCCATTCGTGCCTCTTCAAATTCTGCAGCACTGCTGGTCACAGCTGACCTCCAGCTGGAGCGGTCAAGGGCCAGGGCTTCCCAGTTCTGAGTGTCTATGCCAGAGTTTTTAAGGTTGGCTTTGAGCCCATCTTTCAATCTCTTTTCTTGTCCACCAACATTCCGTTTTCCGTTCTTGAGTTCGGAGTAGAGCAACTGCTTTGAGAGATGGTGGTCGGGCATCCGGACAACGTGGCCGGTCCAGTGGAGTTGATGGCGGAGGACCATCGCTATTATATTATATATTATATTATATTTATTATATTATATTATATAATTATATTATAATATATTACAATATCTACTTATATTATATTATATTATATTATATTACAGGAATATAACAGGGTTGGGAAGACAATAGCTTTATAAACAGGCATCTTGGTATTCCTACGGATGTCCTGGTCCTCAAACACTCTCTGCTTCATTCGGAAAAAATGCTGCACTCGCAGAGCTCAGGCAGTGTTGTATTTCAGTATTTCAATGTTGACTTTTGTGGAGAGTTGGCTGCCAAGATAGCGGAAATGATCAACATTTTCTAATGTAACACCACTAAGTTGTATTTCTGGCATTCGAAAGGGGTTGGCTGGTGACTGCTGGAAGAGGACTTTGGTTTTCTCGATGTTTAATGACTGCCCGAACTTCTCGTATGCTTCTGCGAAGGTGTTTAGAGTGGCTTGTAGGTCTTTTTCTGAATGCGCACAGATGACATTGTCATCAGCATACTGGAGTTCTATAATAGATGTTGTTTTAACCTTGTTTTTGGCTTTCAGTCTGCTGAGGTTAAATAGCTTGCCATCTGTCCGATAGATGATTTCCACTCCAGTGGGAAGCTTCCCATCAATATACTCCTGTATACAATATATATGGATGGTCTTGAGAAGGAATGATGGGAGTTGAAGTCCAAAACACCCGAAGGGTGGGCCCAAGTTGACCCAGGCTTGCTGTATACAGTATATATGGTTTGAACCTGCTTTTAACTCTCATACTGAAGTTTTGATTTCAAAATTGATTTTAATGCCCCAAATTGTGTCTGTTTATTTTAATATTAACTACAATAATATTATTGTAGAATAATAATATTGATAATAATATTATTATCAATATTATTATTATTATTATTATTATTATTATTATTCTACAATACGAGGAGACCCCGGTAGTGCAGTGAGTTGAGCTTGTTGACTGAAATGTTGCAGGTTCAAATCCGGGGAGCGGCGTGAGCTTCCACTGTCAGCCTCAGCTTCTGCCAACCTGGCAGTTTGAAAACATGCAAATATGAGTAGATCAATAGGTACCACTCTGGCCGGAAGGTGATGTCGCTCTGTGCAGCCATGCCGGCCACATGACCTTGGAGGTGTCTATGGACAATGCTGGCTCTTCAGTTTAGAAATGGAGATGAGCACCACACCCCAGAGTGGACTTAATGTCAGGGGAAAACCTTTACCTTTGCCTAATACAATGTAATGCTAATATTAATAAAATATAATAATTCTATATTATATATTACATGTAATATTACTAATAATATTGCAGTATAGTAGTATAGTACAATATATAATGATAATATTGTGCAGTGCTAATAATGTAATATATTGAATGTGCACATAATAGTTATCATAATACTGTAATACAATACTAATAATACAATAGAATAATATAATAATTGTATATTATATATTACATGTAATATTATTAATAGTTTTGCAGTATAGTGGTATAACAGCGCTCCATGCAGTCATGCTGGTCACATGACCTTGGAGGTGTCTATGGACAATGCCGGCTCTTCGGCTTAGAAATGGAGATGAGCAGCACACCCCAGAGTCAGACATGACTGGACTTAATGTCAGGGGACAACCTTTACCTATAGTGGTATAGTACAATATAGTAATATATAATACTTTTTGTGTCAGGAGAGACTTGAGAAACTGCAAGTTGCTTCTAGTGTGAGACAATTGGCCATCTGCAAGGATGTTGCCCAGGGGACGCCCGGATGTTTTTGATCTTTTACCATCCTTGTGGGAGGCTTTTCTCATGTCCCCGCATGCGGAGCTGGAGCTGATAGAGGTAGCTCATCCGCGCTCCAATACTAATACTGTGGTATGCTAATAATATATTGTACGTACAACTTATAAGCCATTCTGAGACCCCTTCGTGGTGAGAAGGGTGGGATATACATGTCAAATATAGATAATAAATACAGCGAAGTTCCTTTGCATTGAGCTGTCCGAAAGCTGAGGTGTCACTATTTCAACTTGAGAGTATTTTGGAATCACACACACACACACACATATATATATATGACATTTTCAGGGGTGAGCTTTGGGACAGTGCTCAAATTAAAGGTTGAAGATGAGCGTTTGTGTAGCTCTTCATAAAGTCACTGTAAATCCATTTTAAGTATTTCAGTCTTGCTTCTGTTGCATTCTGAAAGAGGAATCCTTTTCCATGACTTGAGCAAGATGCTTCTTCACTGTGAACACGAAGATTGGGAAGTGAGAGGAGCTTGGACAGTGTGATAAAGAGAGTTGAAGGCCAGGAGGGAGTGGGCGTTTTTTGGCGCCTAGCAATTGCAGCGCAGGATCTGAATGCCATGGTGCTGACAGAGTGGAGCGCTTTGTGTGGGCAAGTGTTACATAAAGTTTTGGGATGTTGATGGGCGTAAACTGTTGGGGAGCTTCCATCCAAGTGCTTGTATTGGACTACAGATGCCGTCATGCTCTGCCAGGAAGAGTAGGAACTGCAGCGTGGGTACATCTGAAATATATCTACTTTTAGAAAAGTCTACTTGGCCTCAAATTAAATACTCTATTGACACCAAATCTGATCTGATCTTGGAAGCTAAGCAAGAGAAGCTCATGAAATAACACATGATGTAAGTTGTATTTCTGAGGAAGGAATGACAAAACCATTTCTGAGGATTCCTGTCTAAGAAAACTATGAGTTTAATGAGGTTGCCACAAGTCGACAGGTTCATGTACACACACATCTACATACTTGGCAGTTAAGGGTGGAGTTTGTTATGAAATGTACAACAAGGTTGTGGTTATACCTCTCTGGAGAGATCTGGATAAGGAATGTGTGTGATTAACACATCAGTTAGGAAGTGCAAAGTAATCTTGAGAATTATGAAAGATGTGAGGTCTTGATAGTGAAAATGTCATGTTGTTACATGCTTGCTTTGTATTTTGGTATGTGTTGGTAATGTACAGATTTCCTAACTCTGTATGTACTTAGTTACAAAACAAAATGCCAGCTGTTGCTTGTGTGAACCAGGTAGATGTGATCTGTGGAGGAAGCTGTCTGTGTGGATTTGCGTGTACAATAGAAATAATTTGTTGCAAATAGCAAAGCAAATATAATATAATATATTGTATATACATATAATAT